TTAAAAAATTTATTTTCTGCTGAGGGGGAGTCTACCGATTACCTCAGGCCTTCGGGCTATCTCCCCCCCAAATTTCCTCTTCTTCACTTTCTTTTATGGAGAAGTGGGTTTTTTTCAATAGGTGCAAGGGTTGCGGCAGCAAACTTGCTCCTCCCGACCATCATACCCTGTGCCTTTTTTGTCTCTGAGAGTCTCACCGGCCAGAGTCCTGTCGTCACTGTGCTCGTTTTTCTAATCAAACGCGGAAAAAATGAGCTGCATGCCTTAAAGTAGCGCTGCTTGAATCGCCCCTTACTCCTACCTCAGCGATGGAGGAGAGACCATCAACATCGACAGCTCCGGCATCGAGGGCGCAATCTTCCGCTTCCACGCCAATCAAAAAGAAGGCCAAGGCAAGTAAGGATCACAAGTCTGCGAAGAAGGGCACCTCAAAGTCCCTTAAGGCGGCGAAGAAGGGGAAGGAAGCGGTGCCTGCACTGGGTGATGCCCCTAAAGTGCCTCCCGCTCCAATGGCAGTATCGATATCAGAGGCCCAAATTCCTCCACCGATACTGACCACCCAACTATTGGATTCCCCCATCCAACAAGTGGAGTGTCCTTACTCCAACATCGAGACGGTAGAGCTCCTAAATCACCAAATGGGTGCTGAGCCTTCTCCCTCTCCTTCTACTTCGTCGGCATCGATGATATCAGAGGCTCCCGATGTCGAAACATGTCGGTACTGACACGCTTCTCACAGCACGCAATGTCATCCTCTGCATCTCCATGTCCAATCTGTCGATATTGGCGACCGAGACTACAGGGATGGTTCTCACAGACAGGCTATTGCTTTGTCTCCCAGACATCCACAGTCCAGAAGTCGATCCCCCTGAGTCTTCCTGCCCCCTCCACCACCGATATCTTGGGATCAATGACAGTTGAGGTACCTGTATGGGGCTTATCCACCATCCATGCCGTGGTTGACTCCGGTGGGCTATTCTGATTGGGATTTCTATTCGTCCCACTCTGTTCATAGATCGAGGTCGCCCCGCAAGTCGAGACCCTTTGGCATCTCTGTCTCGTTCTCCTACAGAC